AACAACTGGGATTTAAACTGGCACCCATATATGATGCTGGTGTTGCAGGTGGTGGCTTTACCCACTATGCTACAACACTGGCTCCCCAAACAGGGTTTTTTCTAATATGAAAAATATTCAGAGTTTCCAAGATAGAGTCTCATATGACTTGATTCAAAAAGGTAGTGACATCCAAAAGAATAGTAAGTACACTATGTAGAAATAAAAATCTAATACTTTCCTACAAGGTTTTAGCATCAAAAGAAAACGAATGTTCTCTGAACAAAGCTGAAAGAATACCTAATTCCATTTGACTGTCAGCCAATCACATTTTTTCTCAAAAAAGAATGCTAACCAAAGTATTTCTGGGCCAGTGCTGTGGCATAGCGGGTAAAGCCTTTGCCTGCAGTGCCAGCATCCCATATGGGCACCGGTTCAAGTCCCAGCTCTTCTACTTCTGATCCAGCTCTCTGCTATGGCCTGGGAAAGCAGTAGAAGATGGCCCAAAAGCTTGGGCCCCTGCACCTGCAAGGGAGATCTGGAAGAAGTGTCTAGCTCCTGGCTTCAGATCAGCACAGCTCCAGCTGTTGAGGCCAACTGGGGAGTGAACCAGTGGATGGAAGGATGGAAGACCTGTTTCTTTCTTTCTCTCTCTCTCTCTCTCTCTCTCTCTCTCTTCCTCTGTTAACTCTGGCTAACCCTAACCCTAACCCTAAAAAAGATTTAAAAGATTTATTTGTTTACTCGAAAGGCAGAGTTACACAGAGAGAGAAGGAGAGGCAGAGAGAGAGGTCTTCCATCCACTGGTTCACTCCCCAATTGGCTGCAACGGCTGGAGCTGTGCTGATCTGAAGCCAGAGCCAGGAGCTTCTTCTGGGTCTCCCACGTGAGTGCAGGGACCTAAGGACTTGGGCCATCTTTTATTGCTTTCCCAGGCCATAGCAGAGAGCTGGATGAGAAGTGGAGCAGCCGGGACTTGAACTGGTGCCCATATGGGATGCTGGCACTGCAAGCAACAGCTTTTACCCTCTACACCACAGCGCCGGCCCCATAAATAAATCTTTTTTAAAAAAGTAATTATCATCTGGGACCAGAGCTCAATTTTTAATAAACATTAGAAATAAATGAGCTTTTTAATATTTTATTTATTCAAAAGGAAATCTACAGCTATAGGCTGAATAGAAAAAGAAACCAAATCACTTCAGTTGAACACTATACTCAAGAGAACCTGACAAAGAAAAATGATGGAGGAAAGTTAATTGCTATAACTAGGTTAAAATGTCCATTATGGTTTTTAATTTCCAATATGATTTCATAATGCCTATACAAGTAATCATTAGCATTGAATAATTATTTCAGACAGTATATATATTTGTAGCTTCCCATAAACAAAAAACTAGTTTAGCCTTTTAACTGTACTGATTTCCACATACAATTATTCCTGAATATAGAAATTTGATATGCTGAATTTTATCATAAAATTTATGCATCAAAATTAATCAATAAATATGTCAGGTACATATTACCTGAAAATTATATAACACTTCAGAGAGTGAAACTTTCCACCTTTTACCAAGATGGTTTTCCTAAATTATCCATAAAGGTTGAGAACTTATCTAGAATGCTTGGGATCAGAAAGGTTTCAGATTTTAGAATTTTTTGGGTTTCAGAATATTTGCATATTCTCTACTGATTGAGCATCCCTATTCCAAAAACCTGAAATTCAGAATGTTCTGAAATTCAAACTTTTTTAAAGACTTACTTTATTTACTGAAAGGCAGAGTTAGTGAGGAGAAACAGAGATCTTCCATCCACTGGTTCACTCCCCAGATGGCCCCAACAGCTGGGGTTGGCCAAGCAGGAAGCTAGGAGTCACAACTAAGAGCTTCTTCCATGTCTCCCATGTGAGTGTAGGGGCCAAAGGAGTTGGGCCATCTTCCATTGCTTTCCCAGGCTCATTATCAGGGATCTGGATCAGAAGTGGAGCAGCTGGGACTTGAATCAGCATCCATATGGGATGCTGGCATTTCAGGTGGTGGCCTTACCCTCTATGCCACAACACCAGCACCAAATGCAATCCTTTTTGAGCATATGTCAGCATTCAAAATATTTAAAACCTTTAAGCAGTTTGAATTTTGGATTTTCAGATTAGGGATGTTCAACCTATATGACACAAATTAGCTATCCAAAGATTTTTGTGATCCTGAGGAATCAATGTGAGAGAAATCATAGTTGTAATGCTAAAGAAAAAGGAAATGATGAGTGGGATTGATTTTTGTTGCTGTTCATTTTGTTAACTAGTATATTATTAAGGTTTATCCTTGTTCCACTGTAGCTGAGCTTGGGAAAGATGCTGTCATATTTCCCTTAGCTGCTGCTGCTGCCTCCACTATTACTATTTGCTTTTTAAGACTTATTTATTTGAAAGGCAGAATAACAGAGAGAGGGGGAGAGACAGAAAGAGAAAGAGGGGGCTGGCACTGTGGCATAGTGGGCTAAGACTGCGCCTGCAACACCTGCATCCCATACAGGCGCCAGTTTGTGTCCTGACCGCTCCACTTCTATCCAGCTCCCTGCTAATGGCCTGGGAAGGCAGCAGAGGATGGCCCAAGTGCTTGGGTTCCTGCACCCATTTGGGAGACCTGGAGGAAGCTCCTGGCTCCTGGCTTTGGATGGGCTCAGCTCTGGCCATTGCAACCATTTGGGGAGTGAAGCAGTGGATGGAAGACCTTTCTCTGTCTCTCCCTTTCTATGTAATTCTGTCTTTAAATCAAATCCTTAAAAAATATAAAAAAGAAAGAGAAATAGATCTTCCATCTGCTGGTCTTTACTCCCCAAATGGCTGCAACAGCCCAGGTAGAACAGGAAGAAGTCAGGAGACTGGAACTCCATCCAGGTGTCCCCTGTGAGTGGTAGGGACCCAAGTACTTGGGCTGTCTTCCTCTAAGCTTTCCCAATAACACTAGCAGGGAGCTGCATCAGAAGCAAAGCAGCTGGGAGTCAAACTGGCACTCCAATATGGGATGCCAACATTGAAGGTCACAACTTAACCAGGCACACCACAACACCAGCACCTCCCATAGCTTCTTACTTTATATATCTGTTTACTCATATTATTTCTTGGCTATTATTCTTTTTGTTACCACTTTCTGATTTTTTTCATTTCTCAATTACCATTGAATGACCTGACTATAGCAGTATATTGGCTACTACCATTAAAGCAGAATTCTACAGATAGAAATTTTCTCTATAGGCTTTTTTTTAGGAATATTTCTGGTAACAAGACCTTGGACAAGGAAAGCAAAGTTCTACTGAGTGGAAATTTGTTAACTGAGGAATAATATTCTTTAAAAAACTGATTTATTTATTTGAAAGGTGGCATTACAGAGACAGAGAGAAAGAGATATCTTCATCCACTGGTTCACTCCCCAAATGGCTGCAACAACAGGAGATGGGCCCAAGAACTTGAGCCATCTTCCACTGCTTTCCCAAGCTATAGCAGAGAACTCGATTGCAAGTGGAGCAGACAGAACTCAAACGGGTGCCCATATGGTAGGCCAGCACTGCAGGTGGTGGCTTTACCTGCTATGCCATAGCACCAGCCCTGAGGAATAACATTTTATAACAGCTTGTGTTGCTCCTTTCCCTCTGAAATTTAAACTTTACTGCCTTAAGTTGTTAATGAAAGAGTTGCCATACAAATTAATTACCAATGTCCCTATACGTTTATATGTTTATTATAACTCGAAGACTAAGATAAATCTCAACTGAAATACTATATATTTTCTACTTGCTTCTTTTGCATAAATATGGTTAAATTTCTTATAACTGAAAAATCAGTTGAGTTCTGGTGAATACGATATGGGATTCATGCACATGTTCTATATGCTCATATATTCTTGCAGTTATTTTTTAAACATGCTATTATAATCAGCTTTTATTATACCTTGTAAAAATACTTGTGTGTCTGAGGCAGAGTGATGAAAGTTCATCCCTTGCTTCTAAGATTTCTCTTTCTTTTGTTTACCCTTCAAGGAAATGAGACTAGCAGCCCCAATATTTGTGCATATTTATGAAAAAATGAAGTGAGTGTTAGAGAAAGTCCATCAGAATGCATTTGGCCTTCAAATCTCCTTTTGCCATCATTAACTGGAACTCAGCTGAAAAAACATTAAGCTGCTCTTGTGATGATGAATTTAGCAATTCCATTTAGTTATGGATTGGGAAAGCTAATGTTCAGAGGTATACTCTAATCCAGAATGGGGCTTTCCTATATTGTATTGTACTGAAACATAAGGCTGATGGCCACCCAGCTAGGACACTTGAGCACTGTATTACTCATCTCAGTCAACTGAAGTGTTCAGGATAAAGTAGAAAGTCTTTTCAAGTACTCCTCCAAAGTAATCCTCTCTTAAAAGGGGAATTATGAGGGCTGGCACTGTGATATATGGGGTAACGCTGCCGCCTGCAGTGCTGGCATCCCATACAGGTTCAAATCTCAGCTGCTTTACTTCAGATCCAGCTCTCTGTTGTGGCCTAGGAAAGCAATGGAAGATGGCCCAGATTCTTGGGCCCCTGCACCCATGTGGGAGACCCAGAAGAAGCTCCTGGATCCTGGCTTCGAACCGGCACAGCTCTGGCCATTGCAGACATTTGGGGAGTAAACAAGTGGATGGAAGACCTCTCTCTCTCTCTGCCTTTCAAATAAATAAATAAATATTAAAACAAACAAACAAACAAACAGGGTAATTATGAGTAACCTCTGAGTAATTGGCCCTACAAAGGTAGCAAGTGGTTCCGAAGATGATTTTTATAACTGAAGCCTGATTTTACAAGTAAAAAAGGCTCTATAAAGAATCATTCACTGGTATCTTTATGAATCATAGCATCTTTTAATTCCTACAAGGAGCATCACTGGTATTTTTTAGAAGTTATCCTGAAGAAATTTCAAAAATATTAAACCATAAGACAAATTATTTTTCCAAGAATAAAAAAGCCAGGTAATAGCAGCACTCACCCACCTTCACTAACCAGCTCACTATTGTCTGATTGCTTACAAGAGATGATCTTCTCCACTAGTTGGTTGTAGCTGCAGTTACCAACAGCTTTTACAATGTCATCAATCTAGAAAACAAATGACTGTCTCACTAATCATGGTAAGGTTAGAAACAGGAACAAAAGAAATCCAAATCACTCTTTAGGATTTTATTCTAATAAAATATTAAATATAAAGGTATTACTTATAAAATCAGCATTAAAATCAATATCCAACAGTTTCCAGCTCAATATAACACATTATGAAAAATACTGCAGTTATATTTCAATTATGTGAAAAATGATGAAATGGAATTATTACATGTCATTTCTTAGGGTTGTAAAGATGTATTTCAGTGACTAAAATAACACGTAAGTACTTCAGGAAGAAAGCTAAGAAAATTTCGATTTTTTAAGCTAAAAAACAAATGTTTCACTAAAGATGCTAATTTATAGGATTAACAGAGTTCTTCTATTTTTAGTTCCTAGAAAAGTATAATAGAGATGGAGATACTAATGTTATTTCCTAGAAGAAAGGTTAATACATGTTAAGCAGGGACAGTATTTATCTCATGATTCTAGTTTTTGTCTTTAAAAGTACAGTAGTAAGGTAAATTCAAACATTTAAACTATAGTAAAATAAAACTGAGCATCTCTATTCTCCCTCCATTATACTCTGCTTTGACTACTGAAGAAAAAGAGGTTTCTGCTGTTTATACAACTTATTTTGATTGTCTTCTCATCCCTAAAAATGTATTTCAATACTTATAAATCATTATAAATCTGCTAATATGCTATATACAATAAAACAAAACACCAATTAAATAATGATATAAATAAAAATAAGAGGGTTAATGCTTTCTACCTATATTTAAGTTATTATTTTGAATATTTATTCTTTGCATATCATGGTCTAACATATGTCTTCACAAGTAATGGAGCAGTAGTGCTCAAACCTGGGGAGTTTGGTAAAAACATCTAAAAGAATTCCAGGCTCAAGCTGCTTCTCAGTTGTCTGTTTCCATTCTGTTGTCCAGGTGATTCTCATGCAAACAAAGTTTGAGAATCACTGCTCTAGACTATATGAAGGTACTTCAAAAAGTCTGCAGAAAATGAAAAAGTTTAGTTTGGTGCCCAAAAACTGAAATCCATATGTGGTTTTTTCATAATATATATTTACCATGAATTTTTGGAAGATCCCTCATAATTAATTTTCCTTGTTTCTGCAAAATTCTGTGATGGTAAAAGCCTTTTAACTCTGGCAACTGGATTGATGGTTGGTTAAGAAGATCAGCTAATTGAAAACATCAATGCAGGAAGTTGTGAGAAATGTTAGACATATCCTAAATACAATACCTTAAAATACACAAAGGTATGTATCCACCTGTCAGTTTTTTTGTGTGTAGGGCCAAAAAGGCTTTTTCTTTGAGAGAGGGTCTTTGGGCTATGATTCTATGAAACTCACTTAAAAATGTCCATTTATGCCTTCCAGTTTTGTTGTTTTTGTTTTTTGCTATGTAAAGAGAGAGAAAGACAAAGACAGAAACACAGAGAGAGTTCTTTCACTCACTAGTTTATTCCCTAAATGTCCACAATGGCTAGGGGCTGAAGCCAGGAGCTGGGAACTCAAAAATAGTCTCCTATGTTTGATGACAGGAATCTAATTACTTGGGCCATCACCACTGTCTCTCATGGTCTGCATTAACAGGAACCTGGAGTGAAACCCAGGTTCTCTGATAGGAGACATGAGTGTCCTAACCAGCATCTTACCTGCTTGGCCATCTTTCCCTTATCAGCTTTCCACTTTTAATTTATTTGAAACAAGAACATAGACTCTTGGGGCCAGCACTGTGGTATAGTATGTTACACCTCTACCTGCAGCACTGGTATCCCATGTGGGCAATGGAATTCCCGCTGTTCCACTTCTGACCCAACTCTCTGCTAATGGCCTGGGAAGGCAGAAGATGGCCCAAGTGCTTGGGCCCCTGCACCCATGTGGAGGAAACTCCTGGTTCTTGGCTCCTGGCTTTGGTCTGGTCCAGCTCTGGCCATTGCAGCCATTTGGGGAGTGAACAAGAGGATGGAAGACCACTCTCCTCTGTCTTTCCCTTTCACTCTGTAATTCTGCTTCTCAAATAAATAAGTAAATCTTAAAAAAAAAAAAAAAAAGAACATAGATTCTTAAACAATTTGCGGGAGCAGTCTCTATAGATACTCATTATTATCCTCAATATTTTACTGCTTACAGTATTTTTCTTTAGTGACCCAACTTCATCAAGTCTTTCCAAAGAATCTGAATTTTCAAAGAATCCACATAATCATAACTAGAATAAATACAAAAATCAATATACAAGTATCAGTATGTTTCTATAGATTAGCAATAACATTACCAATAAATGTTCATAGGCAGAATCTCTACATTAATATTTCACTCAATTAATTTTTGAGGGTGCCTATTGCATACTATATAGCAGATGCTTTTAGAGATGCTTCAGATACAATAGTGAACAAAAGCATATATGTTTTCATGAAACTTATATTCTACAGGTCAGTGTTATGGCACAGCAGATTAAGCCTCCGCTTGCAACACTGGCATCCCATATCAGAGCGCTGCTTTGAGTCCCAGCTGTACCATTTCTGATCCAGCTCCCTGCTAATGTGCCTAGGAAAGCAGCAGCAGAAGGCCCAAGCACTTGGGTCCTGCCATCACGTGGGAGACCTTGATGACAGCCAGCTGGAGAGTGAATCAGCATATAGAAAATCTCTCTTTCTTTCTGTCTCTGTCACTATCTCTATGCCATTCAAATAAACAAAAAATAAAATCTTTTTTAAAAAGCTTACATTCTAGAGTAAAAACAAACAGTAAGCTAAATAAATGTGGTATACAACTGTTAGTTTTCATTGCAGTATAGCACAGATAAGCCATAATAAACTTATTTATTTGTCTTTTGATTTTTTAGTTGTTTTCAGTTTGAGGCTATGGAAAATAATACTGCTATAAACATTTTTGTACATTTATCCTCCTTCCACACATCAAAGATTAATCTATGGTTTGTGCCTTGTCAACTTGCCAAGTCTTTTTTTCTTTTTTTTTAATATTTTAAGTCTTTTTTTTTTTTTTTTTTTTTGGACAGGCAGAGTTAGTGAGAGAGAGAGAGAGAGAGAGAAAGATCCTCCTTCTGCTGGTTCACCCCCCAAATGGCTGCTACGGTTGGTGCGCTGTGCCGATCCAAAGCCAGGAGCCAGGTGTTTCCTCCCAGTCGCCCACGCGGGTGCACGGCCCAAGGACCTGGGCCATCCTCCACTGCCTTTCCAGGCCACAGCAGAGAGCTGCACTGGAAAAGGAGCAACAGAATCCAGTGCCCCGACTGGAACTAGAAGCCAGGGTGCCAGCACCACAGGCAGAGGATTAGCCTAGTGAGCCGCGGTGCCAGCCTACTTGCTAAGTCTTAAGGTATGCTTATCCCCAACTTTACTAAAAAAAAAAAACAACATATTTCCCAAAGTAGATGGTCAATCTGCATTCTCATCAGCAGAGTGCTCATCAGTATGGTGCACAATGCCAATGCTGAATGTCAGCCAGTGTGATGAGTGGTATCTCATTTTGATGTGATTTGTATTTCCCTGATGACTAGTTTGTATGTTCATTGGTATCTATTTTTGTTATGTACATATTCAAATCATTGTTCCTTTTTTCCACTGGATTAGCTATCTTTTAAAAAATTATTCAATGGTCTATCAATGTTTCCTTTATAGCTAATGGTTTTGATTCTTGTTTTAAAAATCCCTCTGTATTGGGGCCAGTGCTGTGACTTAGAGGGTAAAGCTGCCACCAGCAGTGCTGGCAACCCTTATGGGTGCTGGTTTGAGATCCTGCTGCTCCACTTCTGATCCAGTGCTCTGCTGTGGCCTGGAAGAAGCTACCGGCTCCTGGCTTAGGATTGGCCCAGCTCTAGTCACTGTGGCCATTTGGGGAGTGAACCAAAGAATGGAAGATCTCTCTTTCTCTCTCTGCCTCTGCCTCGCTGTAACTCTGCCCTTCAATTAAATACATCTTTAAAAAAAATAAAAAATTTCACACGTGTATGAAATGATTGTGTAGTCAGAGATGTGAAAAAGAAGGGAAGACAAGAAGTGCATGATGAGAAAAGAAGACATGATGATTAAACACAATGTGATACTCTGGATTCTGCAACAATATCAACAAAAAACCCAAGTTGAAAAAAATCTGTGAAATCTGAATGAAGACTGTAATTAAGGTAATAATAATATACCAATACTCAATTTTATAGTTTTGATACATGTACCACACTCAAGTGAGATGTTAACATTAGAGAACACAGGGTGTACAATACAAGGGAATTCACTGCAATACCTTTATAATTTTCCTATAAATCTGCAATTATTCTAAAATAACAAGTTTATTAATTTTTAAAAAGCATGTGTGTTTATCAGGTTTTCTTTTTTTGCTTCCTCTATTAGTTACAGGGAATGGTATATTAAAATCTGTCACTGTGACAATCTATTTTTCTAATTTCATTCAATTTTTCTGATGTAGTTTGAGATTACATTATTAGATACATACAAATTTTGTTTTTTATTGACAAAAAGTTATCTTTACCTATAGTACTTCTCTTGTGTCCAAGTTATGAACAGTCAATCACAGTGTTTCTGTTCCGGGTGTTTCAAGGAGTCCACAAATTTTAAATGATTATATCTTCTTCATAAATTAAATATCTTATCATTAGTAATGCTTTGACTTAAAGTCTGTTTTTTTTTTTTTTTGACAGGCAGAGTTAGACAGTGAGAGAGAGAGAGAGAGAGAGACAGAGAGAAAGGTCTTCTTTCTGTTGGTTCACCCCGAAATGGCTGCCAGGGCTGGAGCTATGCCGATCTGAAGCCAGGAGCCAGGTGCTTCCTCCTGGTCTCCCATGCAGGTGCAGGGCCCAAGCACTTGGGCCATCCTCTACTGCCTTCCCAGGCCACAGCATAGAACTGGACTAGAAGAGGAGCAGCCGGGACAGAACCAGTGCCCCAACCGGGACTAGAACCTGGGGTGCCGGCGCTGCAGGCAGAGGATTAGCATAGTG